GCAGGAAGTGGGGCAGAGAGGACACTCAGGGCTGGTGTGGGAAGTGGGCTCTGCACCCACCTGTGCACCCCACGGCCATTCCTGCATCGCTGCTTGTGTGTCAGTGACAGCTCTGGAGACTGACAGGGATCAACACGTTCACACATCAGTTATCAACCCCTGCCAGACAGTGATACAGCTCATCATCTTCCACGAGAACAGGGCCACAGCAGCAAGAAATGTCAACTAAAACGGAGAGAAACCTGTTCTTTAGTTCAGTCATTTCAATCAGCAGATGAAGAAGCATTTGTTTCAGATTTGCACTATTGTTACTGCCCTTTTGCAGCCAGTCAATGTATGCAAGGTTAAAATGACTTTGCTGTTGACAGTAACTTAGCTCTGAAAACCATCTAAAGTAAATGAGAATAATAATAGATTTAAATCACAACAATATTAGTTGAAAGACTTTGAAGGATGTATTCTGAACATCTGGATCATCTACGCTGGCTGGAGAGTTGCCCTGGAAATTAATTGACTTGTTTGCTCTAAAGAAATAGTCACATTTTGCAAACAATCCAGCTTTTGTTCCAGTGCCTACTTCACGCAAAACTTGCATTTCATATAGGATAGAATCTTTAGCAGTGTCTTTTTCACATTGGGATTGCTGAAAATTACAATAAGGGAATGAAAACTTGGAAAAGCATACTGAAATACATAAAAAAGATTCTGAGATACATAGAAAAGAAACTTCAGGTGATTTTGCCTCTTCATTGCAGAAGTCAGGGTCAAGACAAAAAATACAAAGTTGATGCTGTACATTATGAAAAAGGAGAGAATGCATTTCATGGCTTTGATGTGGGCATCCATGCTGAGGTCCTTCATAGAGTTTGTCTGCATGTTGCGTTTGTGTCTCCAGAGGGAAAAGAGAAGCAGAAGGGCAGAAAAGATGACTGCTGTGAATGGAGTGGCAAATCCGAAGCCAATTGTAAAACAAACGGGGAGAAAATGTTCCTCTCTTCTGATCCTTCCTTTCCCAATACATTCTTGGCTGGTCACATTGAGCTTTTTACAGAGGGCTTTATCAGTGACGTTGTAGACAGCGGCTCCGATAACCAGGGAGAAAAACACTGACCCCAACAAGAGCCAGGGCACCATCCTGTCAACTTTTACTTTCAGGTAGATGAAGAAGCTGTTCCTGAAAGTGGCAATTTTTATACAATAAAAGACACAAAGACAGGCTGAAACACAGAAGTTGGAACAAATAA